TGGCCATTTCATTTTTCAAACACTCTCCCCTCTCCTGGCTCATCAAAGATTAAATGAGTCTAAAACATTGGGTTAATGAGTCATAATTTTTCTCAGGAATTGAAGGTGGCTCCATTCATAGGTTTTTGCAGGAATGTGGTTTATATAGATGACAGTCCTAAGAAGAAAACTGTAAGTGATGTAAGCAGTGCATTTACCCAGATCTAAGACTACTTTAAATTTAAGACAACCCGCCAATAATTAGATGTTAGACATGGAAAATTATAATTTTTCCAATAATTTTCCATGTCCAGAATCTAATTATTAGAGGGTTGTCTTAAGTTTGTCACCCTCACTGCTGAGGCAAAAAAGCTCCAGCAGGGGTCAAACAGTGGGGAAAGCAAGGGCGGAGGGCAGATGGGACAGCAGGGGCAGGGGGAGCAGGCAGCCTGGACCCCATCACTTTCCTACCACTTGCTTCCTTGCCTACCTCCTTTTTCCATTGCTTTCCTTGCTCATCTGGATAAAGGGTGAGCTCCAGACCTCTCCTGCCGCTGTTGCAGGAAGCCAGCAGCCAGGAGATTCCTCCTTCCCTGCCCCACTCCCTTTCATAGATTCATAGATGTAGGGTTGGAAGGGACCTTGTAGATCTTCTAGTCCGATCCCCTGGGCAGGAGGGAAAACCCAGCTCAAATGACTTCAGCCAGGTAGACGTTAAGCCTCTTCTTAAAGACCCCCAGGGTAGGAGCCATCACCACTTCCCTTGGAAGTTGGTTCCAGATCCTAGCCGCCCTAACTGTGAAGTAGTGCCTTCGGATGTCTAGTCTAAACCTACTCTCTAACAACTTGTGGTCGTTATTCCTTGTTACCCCAGGGGGTGCTCGGGGGAACAAGGTCTCTCCCCAAACCCTGCTGGTCCCCCCAGTGAGTTTATAGATGGCCACCAGGTCCCCCCTCAGCCTTCTCTTGTGGAGGCTGAACAGGTTCAGGTCCCGTAGCCTCTTTTTTGTAGGGTCTGCCCTGCTGTCCCCAGATCATGTGGGTGGCCCTCCTCTGGACCCTCTCAATGCTGTCCACATCCCTCCTTAAGTGCGGCACCCAGAACTGAACATAGTACTCTAGCTGCAGCCTGACCAGTGTTGCATAGAGGGGAAGGATCACCTTCTTGGCCCTGCTTGAGATGCATCTGTGGATGCACGACAAGGTACGGTTAGCCCTACTGACTGTGACCTCGCATTGTCGGCCCAGGTTCACCTTGGAGTCAGTAATGACTTCAGGATCTCTTTCTGCCACCGTGCTCTCGAGGAAGGAGTTTCCCAGCTTATAAGTGTGCTGCTGGTTCCTACTGCCCAAGTGCAGCACCCTGCACTTGGCTGTATTGAAACCCATCCTATTTTCATTAGCCCATCCCTGTAACTTGTCCAGGTCCTGCTGTAATCTGTCATTCCCTACTAGCGTGCCCACCTCACCCCAAATCTTGGTGTCATCAACGAATTTGAACAGGCGGCTTTTGACCCCGTCGTCCAAGTCACTAACTAAGAAATTGAACAGTGTGGGCCCAAGTACCGAGCCCTGGGGGACTCCACTGCCCACTGCCCACTTCCCTCCAGGTCGAAAATGACCCATCTACCACTACCCTCTGAGTATGATCCTTCAGCCAATTTGCTATCCATCTGACTGTGTAGGCATCAATGCCACAGTCACCTAATCACCTTTCCACCTCCCTGTCCCCCCTGCTGGCCTGGAATAGGCTCTGCAGAGCTGGGCTCCTGGCAGCATGGGGCAGGAGCGGCTCTGAAGCTCTCCTGTACCTGCTACAACTGAGTCAGACTCCAGCTAGGAGCGGTGAGATGCTGCTCTTCAGGGAGCCCAGCTGGCTGGAGATCTCAGCAGTGGTGCAGATTCCTCCTTCCCTGCCTGGTTCACTGACAGTGAAGCAGCGGAGGGGAGAAGGAAGCAGGACTGGGAGCAGATGCTGAAAACAGGAATCTGTGTGATGCTGATGCTGTCCCTGCCCCAGCTGGGCTTCCTGCACAGGACTTCTCACAGCTCTCAGCTGTGATACTAGGTCCAAGATGAAGCTTTCTTTTCTCCATGATGAATGGGGGCAAAAACCTTCTCTTGGAATCAAGTAAATATGGTAATCTCTCCGTCAGTCCTAGCTAATAGACAAGTGGGGCGTGTCCACACATGTAAGCATGCACGCTTGCAGCAGCTCAGATACAGGTGGTGCAAATTTGAGCTGGGCCTTTTTGCCTCAGTGTACATGCTTGGACACGCACTTTGTTGTGGAGCAAATTGTGCCACTTGGGGCAAAATTACCCTGCCTGGCTCCTCCCAGATCTTCAGCCAGGGAGACTTAGAGCCCAGGGCCAGCACCTGTGCTGTCTCCAGCAGTATAAAAAGCTGCCCTGTCCTGGCCCCATCAGTACAAAAAGATGCCCTGGCAAGTAGCTCAGGATTACTTGCTCTCAGGAGCTTCTGGGACCCAGCCAAGTGGTACCTGGGGGCACTACGCCTCGTGCCAGCTGGACTGCTGAAGCAGCCCTGAGAGTTCCCTGCACCCTCTACCCACTGCAGCAGTCTGGCAGTGGGGGCTGCTGCCTGGCTGTGACCTGCTGTGCACCTGCCAGACCCGAAGGGGGACTGCACAGCCAGTAGAGGCATCTGCCCCTCTGCGCCAGCTGCCAGCAGGCTGTGGCTGCAGAGTTGGCCCCTGTGTGGCACTACTGCCATGTATGCCCCCTGCCTGGCCATCTGGGCAGCTATCACCCAGAAGATGTTCCCAGAGTGGTGGCCTGCTTTGAACTGTCAAAGCATGTCCTCCTGGCCCCAGTTGTCCAGGAGGTCAGCCACAGCCAGCTGGGTCCAAGGTGCCAGCTCTGAGCAGGCAGGGTCCTGCCACTGGCCTCCCTAGCAGGAATTCTGGTGTTCCCTACTGGAAAACTGAAAAATCCTTGATAAAAAAATCCCAAAGTCACTCTATAAAATACCCCAAAATCCATGTTCCTCCACAATTAAAACAAAAGACCACTATAAAGAGAGAGAAAGAGTGAGAGACAGAGAGACAGCAATCAGTTGGGCAATGTTTTATTGATATATTTACAATGTTAAAGCAATTTGGAAGACTACCAGTGCCTCTATCATCATAATAAAGTGAATTGTAAATACATGTGTAATGAATTAATGAATACATGAATATATATTTTGCTGCCCCCTACAGGGGTCATCCTGCCTGCAGGGTCCACATGCCCCACGCCACCCCTGCTTGCCCCCTGATGGCTGCCTCCCCCAGTCCCCATCGCTGGCCCCACAACCTGAGCCTCTGGCACTTAAAAAAAAACAAACAAAAAAACCCCTCTACTCACCAAGCAGGGGCTGTGGGGGCTCTGGGGCCTCCTGGCAG